GCATTTTGGACAACCAAATTAGGAATTTTGTGAACGGATGTCAGCTAGTCTGCTACACAGCCGTTTTTAGTGTCGTCACGCAACGCTCCTCCCCACAGGAGCATTGCGTGACGACACTAAAAACGACTGTGTAGCAGACTAGATGTCAGCATGCACCTGCTAGAATCCCCCTGGCATTGGGTTTGGTTGTCCAACGGCTTTCCGGAGGTCCTTAAGTCGCACCTGTCTGCCTGCTCGGTCCTAAGTTTCAGTACACCACCATTTTTCAATGGAAAATGTAACTATATGATGAATCACAGTAAAACATTGGAAAGACGGTTGAGGGTCTGAAATAGTGGACCACAATTTGATTCCGCTCCAATCCGTTTTACCAATTTCGTAATTTCCCTGCATAGTCGGTTTACAGATACGACAGCTCGACTTCGCATGTTTATTCTAAAACATCTTAGTTTATTTTTAAACACACACCTTGCAACGGAGAGTGTTGCTAACAATCCCAAATATTTATACGGGACTCTTTTATGCTATTCAAAGACACGTTGTAACACAGTGCGCATGCTTGCCCTCTTTACAAAGTAAAAACATCTAGCTAACAGCCCGAAACCCTTTACCGGCGCGGTTAGACTAAGACCATGCAGGTTATGATCAAGGGGCCAAGGAACTGATTATTAGGTTTTAAAATCACTCTCTTGGGAAATCTTCTAAGTGCAGTAATTTATTACAGTAACAACAACAGCAATAAGCTTTATTTGCATGACTATAACAAAGTATTACAGTATTGCACAAACTACTTGAATTAAATTATGGTTCCTTTTTGAATTAAATATTTGAAATAATGTTAAATATATCAATCACTGATTATTTTCAACCATCAGTAGGATCAGAAATCCCGGAACTAGAACTCTGAAGGGAAACGAGAAACAGTTCGAGTTATCGCGGTCGATTGCCATGCTAAAACTGATAGTTACTGATCAGTTTTTCAGCACTTCAGTGTATGGTACAGTGAAAATTTATCAGAAATGCTAACATGATTAGGCATTTTTTATATAAGAAAACTTGATCTGGTCGATTCACCAATGAAAATCAAAATTTGTTTTAAACTAGCGTTTTTCCCAGTAACATAAGGGCATCCCAGTGCAGTTAAAAGAACCTAAGAAATCAAGTTATCTAGGTAAATTTCGGGCGTAAATTTCAGTGACTCTTTCTTATCAAGGGCAAGGAAATTCGGATAAAAATGACTGGAAAGTGGGGTGAAATATAGCTAGGGGTCAATGTTTTTATAAAACTTTTACAAGTGTGATTTACAAGTGTAGCTATTGTTTTCACACTCTTCTCTTCGAGTTATCCGAGTTTGAGCCTTAATGTTGAGGATAATTATAACACAATGGCATCTATAACAAACCAAATAGACAGTCGATGCTACATTTTAACTTATGGCCCTCCTTATGATATCGTTATTAAGAGGAATTGATAAAGGAACATGGGGAAGTGGGCGTTTTGCTTGATCTTGATTTAATCAGTCCAGAAAGCAATTAAATTATCTTCCTTTACAATAAAGGCAGATCAAGCTACACCCTACAAGATTCTTTTAATGAATTGGTTACTCGTCGTTCCATAAAAATTCAAATCGGTATTCCCGCATGCGTAATGAGCAGTGACTATTTTACGAGATTTTCTCTGTATTTGGTCAGATATAAAAATCTTTGAACGGAACTTGTCCACAAGGAGGCAGGTCAATTATCAGAGCACCTGAGGCGTCTAGGACTTTTAAATACTGAAGACCTGGATACGTACACTCTTCGACAACTATTTGTAGATGCAGTTTTAGCTGACGACTGCAGCATCTCAAACTTCGTCGAAGGTTCCCAGGCAGATGTTGAAAGAAAAGCCCGCGAATTTAGCGTAAGAGGTTTTTTTGATCAAGAAATTGGCGACTTTGTAATAAGACTGTGTTCAAATATCTTGCAAGTTCCAATTATGGTGATAACGTCTTCTGAATCAATTCCTTTTTTGCCCTTCAACTGCGATAATCCTTTGAGTAACACCCCAATCTATATTGCTTACCATTATTTTGGGGCAGGCCATTACGATGCTACGGAAAGCATAACCAATGGTAAGTTGAAGTGAATGGTAAATTTAACAGGGATAAGTCTGTCAACTCAGGGAATTGCGTTATGGGCTGCCGTAAAATCAAAAGTTGTAAATACCAGTTTGTTATGGGTGACCAAACTTTTATCATCCATGTCATGATCATAATAATGAGTTATTTTGACGTGTTATAAGTTTTATAATTACTCAAGTGGGGCTAACAATAGGTTTTATGTTAAATAGTTGGTCACGTGATCGACTTTCTTCAGAATATGTTCAAAAGGCGCGATTGCAACGCCTACCGAGAGTACAAGGATTTGTATGGTAGAAACATTCAACCGTGACTGGGTGGCAAGAGTTTATTTTCCCAATCGCCATTTTCACATACACCATAATGGTTACAATGGTTTACAATGGTTATTCAAAAATTTGGGAGGTCAACAAGGTGCAATACGGCGTATTTAAAAAGGTTGAATACGAACATTCCAATTGTCGTCGGCCGTTTACAATCGCTACTTTTGAAATATACGACTGAAAATTTGCAGGTTATGTAATTTTAATACGCCTTTTTCAGTTCCTTCTAACACTAGTTTTTCCTAAACGCACTAAGTTTTGTTTTCAGTCAGTTGTTGGCATATACAAGAAAACCTGAGACAGACCTCGATTGGTTGGGCAACCTCGAGACCTATGAATACCACTATAGTCCATTAAAGCCATGCTTGTAGTTACACGGCCGGTAAAACGAAAAGGAACAGCAACAATACTAAACAACCTAACAATAATGATAACAACAATAATGATAATAAAACCAATAGCCTGAGTATTCACCTCTCTCCCTTTTTCGCTTCCATCTTTCCCCTTTTCCCCAGAAACGCCTGATACTCAGGCTATAAAACCAAGTAATCAACGATTTTTTTTTTCAGATCCTATCGAGGCTGAACTTCAACATGCTCAGGAACAGGCAGTTTCCCAAATTTGCTATTGTGGAAGGAAGGCAAAATGCAGAAGTGAGGGCTTTTGTGTTTCAACTGAAAAATCTCGTTGCCCGTGTGTTTCTAACAAAAAAAGTGCCAAGCTCAGTGCAAGTGCCGCAACTGCGACAATCGCAGTCAGAATCCCCAAAAGCTGTCATGCCGGTGTGGAGAAAGCAGGGCTAAAGGACGGAAAACAGGTCAAACCTCTTGCATAGATGTAAGTGGTCAGAGGCGAACAAAATGTCCCTGCTACTCCAATGGTAAACCTTGCTCTATCCTCTGTTCATGTTTCAACTGTGAAAATAGATATGGAATAAGGGTTACTCACAGCACAGACGATTGTAAGGCAGAGAAAAAGAAGAGAATAACTTCTACACCACCATCATTGAAGAGGCGGCGAACAGCAGCTATCCTGGAGGAGGAGGGATCTGATTTGCAGCCCGGACCATGGACACTCGAAGA